TGGCCGTTTCAGCAGCTCATATACATGGGAGAGAATGGACTGATCCGGACGCTGCCCCTGGCTGAGTACGTTTTGAACTTTGAACTTTGATCTGCTCTCTAAAGCAGTGCAGATACATGGTCGATGCTAGGCGTTGATCTGGTYGCTGCAACARCTCGTTCATATGGGAGTCCGCTATAGCGKCTCGTATACATGGGAGAGAATGRGCTGATCTGGCAGTTGCTCCTGCTTGAGKACATTTTGAAKACYGGGCATTGATCTGGACGCTARGGTTGTCTATGGACAGGGTYAGAATCGAGCACAACCCGTACACATGGAAGAAACTGAAGGCTGATTTGACTGTTGYCAGTGCTCGGGTACACACTGAAAAATCGGGTGGTGTTTGCCCGCAAACACTTCCKGAATACGTTGGGCCGTAATGGTCCTCGACAATGAGTTYCATTAGCTCACCCGAATCGAGCTCGCTGATCAGGCGGGCCAGACAGGTAATATTGAACCCTTTCYCCGCCCGAAGTGATTGAACTTAGGGCTCGGCGACTAAAGACCATGGWTARTAAAGGCAGTGAGAGAGAGCGAGAGTGAGAGAGAGAGAGCAGCGAGAGTGAGAGAGAGAGAAYARCGAGAGTGAGAGAGAGAGAGCAGCGAGACYGAGGGAGGGAGAACAGCGTGAGYAAGGGAGCGAGAACTGTGAAAGGGAGAGAAAGAGAGAGTGGGGTGGCACATCCAAAGTTGACTRTGAAGCTTGSTGTGGTGRCCTAGTTGCAATTCCCAGTTGACTGCTAAAAACTCASCATTGCGCGGGGTGGCTGAATTATCCATTGGCTGATGAAACRCACTRCTGTGTGACACCGGTTGACTGTTGTAACTCCCTAGTGCGTGAATTGGCTGAATTATTAATTGGTTGTTGAAACGTACTGTTGAGCGATACCAGTTGACTGTTGGAACTCCTTGCTGATCAAAGCTGCTAAATTACAAAAAGGAAGAAAAAGAAAAAAAAGGAGCGT